ACATAACATAACCATAGGTATGAAAATCACCAAAATAAACATAGTGCATATTCATATTAACATTATGCAAGTACAAATATATAACTTATGTAAGAAATACCTTACTCTATGCTTAAGAATTTTTAGATATAGCATGACAATACACAACTAGTTGTCCTCCTTAGTTGGTATTCACAAATAAAATAACAAGTGCAAAATAAACAGTATAAAATAGGTACTCCCCTAGACCAAATTCCTCTGCAAGACAAGAGTCGTATGCATGGAATGATCAATCTCGCAAACACAAGGAAAAAAAAAAGGAATGGAACGAAACCACACAAAAAGACATTAATATCATGAAAAAAGTGAAAAGAGAACATCTTGCAAATTTGAGGAGTATGCATCGAACAACAAGCAATCATAAGGGGTACAGAATGAGCATCGTAAAATACAAAATGAGAAGGTGGACCGAATAACTTTCATGCAAGAGCTAAAAGATGAATTGAACAAGATCTGATCTACCCACTTTGATACCTTGTATATTCTAAATAAAGAGATTGAAAATCAAAAATAAAAGACAAAGAAACACAAGTATTGTCTTTTATGCGAGGTAAAAGATAAAAGACAAGGTATCAATTATCTACATTTCATTGTTCTCACTAGATTACATACATGAGTCATACCTCTCTTTATAGGGTGAATAAAACAAAACACAAGAAAAAAATGATCAATTAATTATGATTGATAAAGTAAATTATCAAATCAACTAATAATTCACGTCAGTAATCAATAATCAATTATTCCGTTAATCATGTGAATTGAGGGTGTTGATCATTAAACATGGGATCTTCTACAGTGAGACATGGGGTAGGAAGAGTTGGGAGAGTTTGTTTTAGGTTGAGGGTTGATTTCCTTCCGCTAAGTAATTAACCTACAAACATGATTATTTTGTTTTAAACAAAAAAAAGAAATAAAAAGGGATAATGATGGCAATCAAATATCATATTGTTAATGTCATATTTTCTGGTCAAGTTGTTCGTTATTAATGGTGGAAATAGGTGGTCTCCATGTTGATATTGAGGAGCAGACTAGGTACCGAAAGAGAATATTTCGGTACCATATTGAAAAGTTGACATTCTGCCAATTAAGGGTAAAATTATAACATTAGTGAGAAGATTTCGACTATAATAGACAAGATTACAATATTAGTGAAAAATTTACAACATTAATGGACAAAATTACCACAATAATAGAAAATATTACAATATTAGTAGAAAATTTACAACATTAATGAAAAATTTACAACAATAGTGGACAAAATTACAACATCAATGACAATTTTACTACAATAATGAGCAAAATTACTACAGTAGGGGGCAAATTTTAACCACCATTTCAAATACCATAAGTATATTTAGTAGGTTTGTGATACTAATATTGATTGATCGATCAGTGAAAAAATTACAACATCAGTAGAAAAATTTATAACAGTAGTGGACAAATTTATAATATCAATGAAAAATTTACAACAATAGTGAATAAAATTACAACAACAGTGGGTAAAATTAGACACATAGTAACCTTCGGATAGTAAAATTGTGGCCAAAATTACAAGTAAAAGTTTACCCACTATTATAGTAAAATTGGTCCATATACTAGTAACCTTATCCACAATCATTCTAAGTTTACAACATTTGTGGCCAAAATTACCATAGTAGTAGCCAAAATTACAATCTCAGTGGCAACTTTACAATAATAGTGGACAAAATTACCATAATAGCAGACAAAATTACAATATCAGTGAAAATTTACAATAGTAGTAGAAAATTTACTACAGTAATGAATAAAATTACAATAGTAATAAACAAAATTACAACATTAGTGAAAAATTTATAACATTAATGAGTAAAATTACTAAATTAGTGGGCAAATTTTAACCATTACAGTGGTAAAAGTATAATTAACACATTTAACCGCATTTTGTCGTATATATGAGACTAGCGCATTCCACTGATGTCGTATATTTACCTTTAAGTTTGTATTATTATTCACAGTTATCGTAATATTTACCAAAAATAAAATAAAACTAGTCTATATACTAATAACATTATCCACAATCATTCTAAGTTAACCCTAAGCTATAATAAATTTTTCTTTTGATGTTGTAATGTTACCCTAATTAATGGTAAAATTGTCTTATATACTAGAAATTTTATCCACAATCATTGTATTTAACGCTGAATTATAGTAAATTTTTCCTTTGATGTCATAACCTTTCCCCAATTGTGGTAAATTTATTCATCATGGTTTTAACTTAACCTTTTTTTTGTTGTAAATTTACACTTAATTCTCGTAATGTTACCCAAAATTATCGTAATATTAACTAAAATAGCCATAATATTAATCTAAATAGTAGTAAATTAACCTCTAAACTTATAAGTTTATCCACAATTATTGTAAACTAACCCTCAAATGTGGTAAATTTGTCCTTAATTGTGATAAATTGTCACAGTTTTGCTAAATCTCACTCTAGTAACCTTGTGATAGATCATACGCATTTGTGATTGATTCCAAATATTTGTTTAACATTTTAAGATATATTCTAAACCTTTGTGATAGATCATAATCTATTGGAATAGATCACAAAAAATACAATATATGATCGATCACAAAAACATAGGATCAATTGCAAAAATTTGGTAATGTACCTTTTTTAAGTAAGATTAGTTGTACATTACCAAATTTTGGTGAGAAAACCACATTTGGTGGAGACAGCAGTAACTTTGTGATAGATCGCAAGTTCTTGTGATAGATCGCAAGCATTCATAAAATTTAATTTCACAAAGTTCTAGTGACTTGTGATTGATGATAGACATTTGTGATCGATCCCAACTTACTGCTTTTCCATAAGTTTTGGGGGAATCTATTGCAACTTTGTGATAGGTCCCAAGCTCTTAGAATATATTGAAAACATTTTGGAGACAAAATAATTATAATTTCAATATATTCTAAATAATAATAAAAATTTTGATATATTCAAAAAAAATTGGGATAGATCACAAAATTCAGTTATACCAAATTAGTAAAAAAATCACCTTTTATTTTTTTAGCATACTATAATTTGCGCCAATTTGATCTCAACATGAACTGCTTGCGCTTCGCGCCGATTAAAATTTGATTCGAGTCAATTAAATTTATCTTTTTTTACTTATTAAAATTTGTGTTGATCAAAATTTAATTCAGGCTAATTAAAATTTATTTTTTCCTAATTAAAATTTATTTTTTCCGTATTAAAATTTGATTCAATTAAAAATTAGATTTTTCTACTTATTAAAATTTAATTCGAGCCGATCAAAATTTATTTTTAATCGGCTCTCATCAAATTTTAATCAATTCGCATTGAATTTTAATCGGCCTGAATTTTGATACATAAAAAATATATAAATTTTAGTTAACTCAAATTTTAATACGTAAAGAATAAATTTTAATCAACTTGAATTGAATTTTAATTGACATGAATTTTGATAAATAAAAAATACAAATTCAATCAACTCAAATTGAATTTTAATCAATTCTAGTAGCTCAGATTGAGCTCAAATTAACTCGAATTTTAATACATAAAAAAAATAAAATTTAATCAACTCGAAGTAAATTTTAATTGGCTCAAATTTTATTATGTACGAATTTTAATCAACTGAAATTTTAATATATAAAAAATTTATTCAGCAAAATAACATTCAAATTCAATAGGTTAACATTAACTTTATTAAATTAAAATTGAAGACCAATTTGTTATTAATTTGATGAAATTAAAATTTTAAATTGATTAATCTAAATATTAGTTTGGTAAAATTGAAGGTAAATTTCATAACAATTGGATGAAATTAAATGTTAATTTAATGAAATTAAATATGTAAATGCAATAGAATGTCAAATTGATGAAATCAAATGTTAATAAACTAAATAGATGGTCAATTTAATTTTAATGTGATGAAATTAAATTTTTAATTGATGATATTGAAGGTCAATTTAGTGAAAATAAATGTTTAAATTGATAAAATTAAATATTAATATTGATGTTAATTTGATGAATTTAATGTCAATAAATTGAATTTGAATGTTAATTGATGAAATTGAAATCAATTTGAAGAATTGGACTATTTGTTTATTGTTAATTTGATAAATGAAATGTATTTAAATGAAAACTCAAGAGCTTCTTAGAGAGAGAAGCTCTGACTTCTCTCTAGGATTTTTCAAGTTCATCAGTGACACACCAAGTTCATCCCATATTCCACCAAAACCACCCGATTTACATCCTGTTAATCCACCTCAAACACAGCCCACCTATGCTTCTCTCTTCAAACAATCATCTAAATTTGTTTTGGTGGAAGAATCTTTACCCAAAACTGACAAACCTATTGTATTTTATGAGGGGGAGCCAACTTTTTACTTCACCAATGAAGAGGTTAAACAATCATGTTTAACTCTACAATATGCGTTAATAGGCAAGTGTGCCTACGGTAGACCTAGTCTGGGCGTGGTTCGAGAAATGATAAGGTCTAAGTGGGGAATGAAGGGTGACTTTGAGATAGGTTCAATAGACCCAAGACATGTGTTGATACGTTTTAAAAAACAAGAAGATTATGTGAAGATGTGGTTGAAAGATGCTACTATTATTGAGGATTATTTGTTTAGATTTTTTAAATGGTTTCCAGCGTTCGTATCGGGGATCGAGTCATCCATTATGTCCATGTGGATATCATTACCTGGATTGCCTCTAAAGTTTTTCAAGAAGTCTTTCCTGGAGTTGCTAGTGAAACCCATAGACAAAGTCTTGGCATATGATCAAGCTACACTTTCGTTATCCAGGCCTAGGGTAGCAAGAGTATGTGTGGAGGTTAATCTTCTTGCAAATAACCCAAATAGAATTTGGATTGATATGGGGGTTGAGGATGCAAGATGGCAGCGGATTGTTTAAGAAAGAGACAAGAAATTTTGTAAAAGTAGTAGGAAACAGGGCCATGAAGAGCTTGAATGCAGGAAGAAGAAATTGGTGGAGCAGAAGTTGGTCCCAGATGGAAAGAATCCCGTCCCAGAAGGAAAAAAATCCTGTTCTAGAATTAGCAGAAGGAGAAAAGGAAACTTTGATCAAGAAAAAAGGAAAACAAGTTCTAACGGTGGAGAAGGAGGGGAGGAATATTCTGTCGTTGGGCAATGGATTTAGGAAACATTCGGATATTAATGGAGTCCAAAAAGGTATACAGTTCAAAGAAGTATGAAAACTACAATATAAGAGGAAAGACAACTGAAAAAGGTAACGAAATGGAGGAAGGTCTGGCCAAATCTCTTGAAGATCCTGCAATAAAGATTGCAGGGATTACTTCCTAAGAAACCACAATAAATTTGGAAACTGCGGATCCATCGGGCAAGGATGAGCAGAATTCGAAAACAACTGATTCTTCGGCAGAATATGCTTCTCCGAACAAGGTTAACGATGATGCTGATAATGAAAAAGGTCTAGTAGACGTTACAGTAAATGAACAGTGTATTTCAGATACATTTCTGTTAGATCATCACTTTGAACGCCAAGAAAGAGGTGATATTGTTGTGGATGATGTTATGGGGTTAATATGTAATAAAGAGCTGTCGGATAAGGGGTTTTACTCCGGTAATGACATAGATTATTGTATTGAAGTTGATTCCCAACATTCAGATTCTGGAATCAGGGTGAATGAGCAAGTTGAAGAAGTTCAAAGTATCCCCCACATGGGTATGACTACTAGACCCAGGTCTAGCAAACTTTCTCAATCCAATTCTTTAAATGATTAATATTATTTCATGAAACGTGAGAGGAGCAAATAAAGAATCCTCAAGATTAAGGTTGCAAAAATTAGTTAGAGCAAATAATGCTGGTTTGGTTGCTATTTTGGAGCCTAAATTGTTGCCAAATAAATTAAGAAGTTTGTGTCTTAGTCTGGGGTTCTCTTCGTCATTAGCTAATCCTTTAGCAGAGAAATATATATGGGTTCTTTGGGACCATAGGATGCAAGTGGAGGTTTTTTCAATTCACGAACAAGCTCTTACAGTTAAAGCTTCGTACATGGGTTCTTTGCCTTTTTTGGTTTCATTTGTCTATGCCAAGTGTGATAATATTCTTCACAGACCCTTATGGGACCATCTCTCTGCATTGTCAACGTCTACCATGCCATGGATGGTGGTAGGGGATTTCAACGCCATTGTGTCTTCAACAGAGAGGAGAGGAGATTCACCCCCTAGTTTATCTACTATGCATGAGTTTATTACTTTTATTAATGCAGCGGGATTACAAGACTGTGGCTACTCTGGAACAAATTTCACATGGTGTAACAATCATGATGAAATGGCTAGAATGTGGCAGCGTATTGACAGGGTATTAATGAATGTAGAATGGGGCGAAAGATTTCAGAGTGTAGTTGTGGAGCATGCTACCAAAGGTTCTTCTGATCATTGTCCACTGTTTATCAAGAATTCTGAAGATGCAGCTCCTCGAAGGATATCCTATTTTAAATTCATGGATATGTGGGTGGAACACTTGGGCTTCCTGCCGTTGGTGCAAACTGCTTGGGGGGGGGGGTTCTTACTCTACAAATCCGATACAAAATGTGTATCTCAGGGTCAAGTATCTCAAAACCCATTTAAAAATTTGGAACAGGGAAACATTTGGTAATGTATTTGACATTATCAAGAAGCAGGAACAACTATTGTTGCAAGCAGAGATTGAAATGGAGAATCATGACTATGCAGCAAATATTTCATCAGTGGAAAGGGCAAGAATGAAGCTGGACAATGTAGTAAGAATAGAAGAAATTTTTTGGAGACAAAAAGCTAATGTGCAGTGGACTATTGAGGGGGAAAGAAATACAAGACTATGCCATGCCATAGCAAAAGGCAAGTCATCAAGAAACAAAATTCAAAGGATCAAGAATGAGGAGGGTATTTGGGTGGAGGAGGAAGCTCTAATCGTAGATTGTGCCGTGGACTTCTTTTCTAGTCTTTACACTTCAGAACCCCATCATATACAGGAGGAGCTATTTTCTTTCATCCCTAAGTTGGTCACAGAGTAGGACAATCTCATGCTATTGGCCCCAATTTCCTTGTAAGAACTAAAGGAAGTAGTCTTTCAAATGCCCGTGCATAGTGCCCCAGGTCCGGATGGTTTCTCAGGTAAGTTTTTTCAAACCACTTGGGATAAAATTAAACAGGATCTGTTGGAGGCTGCTAATTTTTTCATGAAGGGTGGAGTGATTCCTAGATCGATTAATGTTGTATTGCTGTCTCTTATTCCCAAGATTGAGAAGCCTTCCTCCTTTTCAGAATTCAGGCCTATAAGTTTATGTAATTTCTTATATAAAATATTCACAAAGTTGCTGGCATCTAGACTAAGTAATCTACTTCCTAAGCTAATTTTGGAAGAGCAACAAGGTTTCGTCAAGGGTAGAAATGTTGCAGATAGTGTAGCCCTTGCTCAATTGATGGTTAATGAATTGGACAAAAAAGTGGAAGGGGGTAATGTTATTGTCAAACTTGATATGATGAAAGCGTTTGATCATTTAGAATGAGATTTTCTAAAGCAAACATTGACGAATTATGGCTTTTCAGAAGAGTTTGTTCTCATTATCTCTAATTGCCTTAATAACCAGAATATCTCTATGGTAATTAATGGCGCTAGACATGGATTTTTCCCTAGCTCCAGGGGTTGAGGCAAGGGGATCCCCTATCTGCCAACTTATTTATTCTCGCAGAGGAAGTCTTGAGCAGAGGTTTAAAACATCATTTTCAGCAAGGTTTGATCAAGAGCTTTCATACAGGTAGAGGTGCCATTTTGCTTTCGCATATGTTATTTGCAGATGATATTTTAATTTTTCTGAAGGGCACAAAAAAATCTATGGTTAATATGCTGAAGTTTGTGGGGAAATATGAAGCATCTTCAGGGCAAAAAGCTCACTTGCAAAAAAGCTCACTATGTTGTTCCTCAAGAATCTCGTTAACGAGGAGAAATAGACTGTCACAGGTGGCTAACATCCCCATTAAATCTTGTCCACTCACCTACTTGGGTTGTCCTATCATTAAAGGGAGAGTAACACTGTGCTACTTTGAAGATCTTTTGCACAAGTTTCAAGTTAAGCTGGAGGGATGGTATACTAAGTTGCTCTCAAATATGGGTAGAATTACGCTTATCAAGTCAGTCTTATAGTCTCTACTAGTCCATCTAATGTCCTCTCTAAGCCTACCTAAGGGAATCATAGCTAAGTTAAACTCCATGATGGCTTCTTTCCTTTGGTCCAGTAAGTCAAAGGTTAAAAAGAGGCACTGGTGTTCTTGGAAATCTATTACATTGCCTAAAGAAGAGGGTGGATTGGGTATCAAAAAGTTTTAGGAGATGCAACAGTCTTTTAGAATGAAGCAAGTCTGGCATTTGATGAGGGGATCCTCCTTATGGTCATTTTTCTTAATTGCTAAGTTTCTTAATAATCAGCATCTGCTCAGAAACCAAAGGCGAGGGCATTCGAGATGTTTCAATACTTTGCTGCCTTATTTTGAGTTGGTAGTGAGTAACTCCAAGCAACTGGTGGGAATAGGAGTTTCAATAGACTTCTGGTGTGATAATTGGACAGGATTTAGGCCACTTATATTGAGCAATTCTATTATGCCTACACACTTTCCAAAACTGTCACATGTCTTGATTAATGGACATTGGAAATTGAACATGGTCCAACAAGATATAGACGCCCATCTGCTGCAAGAAATCATAACAGTTAACATTTTCTTGTCTGCTACACCAGATAGACTCGTTTGGAAACACAAATCTTTGGGGAATTTCTCTGTTAAATCTGCCTGGGAATTATTTAGAGATAGGGGGGGACGCTCATATTCATGCATCCACAGTTTGGAAGCAAAGGACTCCCCCCAGCGCTCAATTGTTGGGGTGGAAAATTCTGAAGAAGGCTTTACCTATGGACTCTACATATCAAGCAATAGGAATTAATCTAGCAAGTAGATGTGCCCTATGTTGTTCAGAAGTGGATTTAGAGGACCATATCTTTATCTCTTGTAAATTTGTTGCTTTTATTTGGAAGAAGTTTTCAACTCTGTTGGGTTTTCAACTTATAACTAATGAACCTCCAATTACAAGATTTGTGAGGATTGTTAGAATTTTCAAGCGTTCATCTGTCTTTCACACCTTAATGAGAGGTTTGCCATTGATTATATAGTGGCAGCTTTGGAAGGAAAGGTGCAGAAGGCTTTATGAGAATGAAAAACAAATTCCTTCAGTGGTTTTCAGGACAATATTGAATCAATGGAAACTGTAGGTTCATGTGGTGAAGCCTAAATCAGTTGGTTCTCCTCAAGATAAAATGCTGCTTCAGTCACTCAACATATATACTACTAGTTCTGTGGGAATACATGCAAAATGGATTAGCTGGTCGTTGCCTCAAGAAGGCTTTTTAAAACTAAACATTGATGGTGCATCAAAGGGAAATCCAAGTTTGTCAGGAGGGGGAGTTGTGCTCAGAAATCATTGGGGGCAATTTGTCCCTGCAGGTTCTTATTACTATGGTCATTGTTCGAATATAGAGGCTGAAATGAAGGCATTATTGAGTGGATTATTACTGTTACAGGATCATGGATTAGAGGTTTATCCTTTAATTATTGAGTCTGACTCTAAAATATTGGTGGATATGGTTACTCAGAGGCAAATATCATCTTGGAAATTCTGAGAGGTTTCAAAGAAATTTTTTTCGATTATTCGAAGTTTTGAATTTCAAATCCAACATTCATTCAAAGAGGAGAATGCAGTTGCAGATTCACTAGCCAACCAAGGAGTCAAGGATGGGATTTCTTGCAGTCATACTTCCTTTGACACCTTGTCTCTTCACACAAAACAGCTACCAGTGCAGGATTAACTCCAAATTAGAACTATGCGTTCTAAGATATATTGATCTTTCGACTGGAGTCTTCCTCTAGTTTGGCTGGGCTCTTTTAATTACACTCCTAGTGCATGTTTGACTACTGCTAGGAGTCCATTTTGTGAAGAGGCGACCGCTATCTCACTGTTCATCTAGAACTGCAGCTAGACTGGTTTGTGGATTGCTGGACTTTTCTTTCACTATTCACGTCACTGTTCACGTCATCCTTGTAGTTGGACTTCTTGTTCGACTGGGAACTTTTGCGTAGTAGACTTTCTTCTTCAGTTAGACTCTTAGGCAGTTGTATTATGGAAGCTGCATTTAATTCCAGGACATCTCTTTTGGCAGTTTGGCTTCATGTTCAACTGGAACGCTTCAAAGGTTTCCAATTCAGCTGGAATGTTCTTACATCAGTTGGACTTTTTTAGTTAAGAAGGCAGTATGCTTAGGATGCATTTATTTTATTATTTATTGTATTAAGCATGCATATTTTGCTTTCTTTTATTTATTTTATTATTCCACGTAATTAAATTGCATCGAAGGGTAAGGTACATACGTTCCCTTAGTTATTAGTAATTTTATTTGAAATCAATAAAACTCCCTCGTACCGTCGAGGTTCAATTAAAAAAAAGGTATTTAGATGAAATTGAATATTAATTTGATAAATTGAATATTAATGTATTTGGATGAACTAAATATTAATTGGATGAATTTGGATGTCAATTTGATGAATTAAATGTTAATTGTATGAAATTGCATGTTACTTTAGTTTTAATTTGATGAATTAAATATTTATTGGATGATTTTGGATGTTAATTTGATGAATTGATTGTTAGTTAGAGGAATTTGAAAATAAATTGGATGAATTGAATATTAATTTGG